GATAATATCAAATCAAACAAAAGGTACACCATAGTGTACCCTGTATCTCAAAGAGTTAATTAAAACTTTTTTATTATAAATACATATACGTAAAATAATCATAGGGCTACTGATACACGTTACATTTTATCCAGTATTTTTATTTTATTTTATTATCATTTAATTTTTATTTTTATATTGTTTTATTTTTCGTACATCGAGTTTTATTTGATAATATAACATGTAGGGAGATGATATTATTTGTTGCTAAATGAATTGACAGACAATGAAAGCTGAAAGAATCACAAAAAAGAAAAGTTGTACAGACTTCATTTAACACTAAAACAAATAAAAATGAAAAAGGAAATAGTAAATTTGATAGTGTAAATACTGATAATGATTATAACATACAAATTCCAAATAAATCAGAAATCGAGGGTAAAAATGGCTTTTTATGGAAAACTCAGAGTACTAAGTACAGTGGAAAAGTATAAATAAAAATAAAAAGGAGTTTCTATATGAGTTCACAGACGTTAAATTTCAAAAAAGAAAACCACAGTCATCATTTTTTCTTTTTCACGAAGATATAACTGTTGTACCTTACAAGCCTAATCAAAATAAACTCGTAGCTTTGATATTATCTACTCATCAAGATTCGTTCTTAGATCAAAACCGGAAATAGTCATGAATTATAATTCTACAAAAGGTGGTGTAGACTCCTTCAATCAAATGATTCATAATATGAATTGCAGTAGAAAAACAAAACGATGGCCATTATGTTTTTTTTACAACATGTTAAATATTGCTAACGTTAACACTTACGTGATTTATTTGCATAACTTTTATAAAAATAATGTAGAATACTAAAAACCTTTATCTAGACTACATTTTATGTTAGATTTGTATAAGAAATTGACAAAATACTAGCAACGTCAAAGGTTGGAAATGCCAAACATCAGTATAGAACTTAGGAAAAATATACAAGAGGCGATTGGTGAAATACGACAATCAAGTACAATTGATACTAGCCATAACACTGAATCAGATCCAATTGCACATTCTGTAATTATAAAAAGAAAAGATTAACAACCACGACTGCATTGAATGTAAGAAACCTGTTTGTGGTGAACACCAGAAAAATGTATAGAATGTTGAGAATACTTTATATTTTATAAAATTTCGTATTCTATGGTTTTTTTTTTTTTTATAAATTAATTTATTTTGTGCATTTATGTTTAAAAAGTGATATTTATTTTAAGCAACATATTTTTTTAAGTTTAAAATGTATAATTTATATAATTTAAGTATGCTTGTTTTATTTTTTATGTTTGAAAAATTAATACTATACCATAAGACTTATTTGTTTGAGTTATTATCATAAAGTTATTTTATTTTGTTTGATAAAAAATGTACAAATCAAGTTCAATTATAAATTATTTTTAAAAAAATGTTATACATAAAATTTACGTAACATTACTTATACTGTAGTATGGTATAACGTTAGTATTTGGTAAGCAAGTAACAGGGAAGAGTGGAGAATTGCTACAAACCAATCTCAGTTTTGAATACTAAAGAAGAATAATGGAAAACCGTACTTACTTATCAGTGGAGAGGGTAAATTGGGAGGTGATAATATAAGTACTATACTAATGCACACAGGACTCGAAGAACTCTGTAAATTTGAAAAAGGAAGTGATAACTTAATAATAATTGGGAATTGGAACGTTGTTGTAGGTGAAGGAGCTAATGAGCAAGTAGTAGGAGCACTGGCAACAAAAAGGGAGACCAACTTATAGATTTCTGCAAACAATATGCCTTGGTTATAACAAACACATACCAAAACATTCATCGGAGAAAAGGTATACGTGGAAAATTCCAGGGGACTTTGGACGATACCAAATCGACTATATATCGGTAAGAAAACTCTTCAGAAATCAAGTCGGATGATTTAAAACCTACCCAGGCGCCAATGTGGACAGCGACCATAACCTCTTAATGATGAAAAGCAATGTTACATTTAAAAAACTGAAGAAACCTACATAAAAGGAAAGAATATATGACTTATATATGTTAAAAGATCATAATACAACGTTAGCATATGAATCATGCATCATTAAGATATTCAAAGAACCCCCACAAAATTATTCAATAAATATAAGATGGGAAGCAATCAAACAAACTGTACATATTGCAACCGATAAGACTCTTATATGAAATACGTTAGATTAAAAAAAAAAAAACCATGGATATACGAAAAGATTCTAAGAGATATTGAGGAAAGAAGAAAGTACAAAAACTCCAAAAACAATCAAAAAATAAAACAAATAAGTATAGAACTTAAAAACAAAATAAATAGAAATGAAAAAGAAGCAAGAGAGAAATGGCTGGAAGATAGATGTCATGATGTAATATAACTATTACTAAAAGGAAAAAAAATCTCTTTTGACCAAAAAAGAGATTGAGGGATGCTATTGAATGCGATATGAGGGCAGCTGATATGAGCGTAGATGATGTGGGAGATAGGGTCAAGTGGAAGTTATGGATAAGGGTAGCCAACCCCAAATAGTTGGGATTAAGGCGAGGAAGAAGAAGTAAAATAAAAGGTAACAGCAAAATAAGAGACACAAACAAAAATCTACTTATAGACAACAAAGACATTGCCAGAAGATGAAAACAATATCTTGAGGTTCTGTATCAGGGCGAAGAAATAAAAAGCTTAAATGATAAAAGTAACCTAGATAATAAGGTCGCACAAATCCTAAGGGAAGAATTCAACCAAGTTCTTAAGGCGATGAAAACTAGAAAAGCCCCAAGTGTAAACAATGTATCAACAGAACTGATTTAAAATGCAGGTACAAAAATTCAAGACGAATTGTTTAAATTGGTTAATGAAATCTATATAACTTGTGAAATACAAGATGATTTAAAAAAAATCAATATAATTAATCTTCCCAAGAAAGCAACGACTGAAAAATGCGATGAATATAGAACCCTGAGTCATGATATACACTTGGCTAAAATTCGCGTAAATATAACAGGTAACCGGATAGAACAAAAAATTGAAAGACAGTTAAGTAATGATCCATTCGGATTTAGAAGAAACAATAGAACTAGAAAAGCGATCTTAAGTTTAAAACATGAATTCAAAAAGAGATCGAATTTAACAACAATACATTTATCAACTTGGAGAAGACATTTAACACAGCTACCTCGAAGAAACTTTTTATGACATTAGAAGAAATAAGCATTGGTTATAGAAACAGACAGTTAATATACAACATAGAGCAATTAGCTATAATACAAATGTCAGACAAGTCTGGAACAGCCAAAATTGGAAAGAAGGTAAAATAAGGGTGTCCACTGTCACCAAAATTATTCGATATTTATGTAGAACCTATCAATGAAATTAAAGAAACACCCATCAGGGACAAAATTGGAATGATAGTAGGAGGAGAATTGATATTATTTCGGAGATTCGCCGATGACATAGCTCTTGTTGCAGGTAGCGAAAACGATCTCGAAAAAGCGCTAGAAGGAATAGCAAGATTCTTTCAAAATTATCACCTTAAAATCAACTGGAATAAAATCAAGGTAATGATGTATCAAAAAAAGAATCTTATTAATAGATTAAGAATTAAAATTGATAACCACACTCTCCACTAAGTTGGAAGCTTTAGATATCTAGATAGTATAATCAGTCAAGATGGAAAATGTACTATGGAAACAAAGTCAATGATCACTCAAGCAAAAACTGCATTTATGAACAAAAGAAACTTACTGTGCTCTAAAAAGATGAATATCAGTATAAGGAAGTAGTTGATAAATGAATATGTATGGAGTGTCACACTATACGGATACGAATTATAAGTATTGAACAAAGCGGAATAAAAGTTCCTCAAAAGTTTTGAGATGTGATGCTGGAGAAGAATGATGAGAGTAAGCTGGACAGAAAGAAGAACCAACGAAAATGTTATAAATGAAATGAATGAAATCAGGAAAATACTTCGCACCATAAAAGAAAGAAGATGGAATATGATAGATCATGTCTTAAGACACAAAGAAAAGCTTCTGTATATTATAATAGAAAGGAAGATAAATAGCAAAAGAAATCTAGGACGACCGAAAATAGATTACGTCAACAGAATGATTTCCGATGCAGGCCTAACAAACTATAAGCAATTGAAGAGATTAATGGAAATATTACGGAAAACTGCAAAACCAACCTTATGGTTGATTATAAAAAAAAAAAGTACTTAAAATAAGCTTGAATTTAACATATAACAAAGGACGCAGTATAACCACAATATTTTCAAAAGTTCAACTTTTTATACGTATGTTTTAAGTTTTGAACCCCTTTGTATAAGGGGAAATAGGTTGAATTAAAAAAAAAGTATGTGAAATGAAAGTAGTGTATAAAGTATTAAAAAAATAAAATTTGTGTTGATCCATATATTTTTCAAAAGTTTATAGCAATTTTAAGTTGAAAATATAAATTGAAATTAGAAAATTATAACACAAAAATATCATGTTTTAGCTATGACAGCCATTTGTAAATAAAAAATAAGTCATCAGGATATATTTTTCTTTTTTAATTAAAGTATATTACATACACTTTAATTTAACATATAAAGACGGAATATTTCCGGGATATTTCAAAAGTTTAGTTGAAAAACCTAATTTTTAACTTTTCAAAAGTTGCCATTTTGAATCTCTTCCTGTGGCAAGTAGGTCATATTTTAAAAAAAAAATATATCAGATGAAAGGGAAATATCTAAGATATTTTTATAAAAAAAACTTTTTAAGGACAATTTCTTCATTTAAATATGATTTGTGATATTTTCATAAATTATTGAAAGAAATCTGTTTGGTAAGATCCGAGAAAAAGTAATAACAGGCATAAAAAAGACCTTGTAAAATTAATACTTTCTCGGTTTCTCATTGAAGCAAAAATGAAATTCAATATTATCTTATTATATAATAAAACATTGAAAAGATAATCAATGCTCGAAAAATTACTTAACAATGTGATTAAAAATAAAATTACATTATTATGTTTTAATAATTATTTAATGTTTTACAAAATAATTATGTGAATTTTGATAAATAGATAACGATAATATTTTATACATTATTATAAGGTAAAATCAATTTTTTTGTAAAATTTAATGAATTTCTATTTGTATTGGCATTGAAGGCTTCTCATCTGTTTCTCTAAATTCCAACTCTAGATTCATAAAAAAAATTATAATACTATTAATAAATATTTAATTAATACTTTTTATTTTAAATACCTAATTCAATTAGCTCCTTTAGTGTTGGGACAAATGTTTCTTCGGTGATTGGATCAAATTTAAACCCCAGTTGAAAATACTTTTCTATAATTGTTGTCTTGATATATACTTTAATTTTTTCGTTTATGAATTTGAAAAATTCTAATTTTGCGCCATAGTCAATGTCTTCATATTCTTGAACCCAACCATTCCATAAATAATCCACGTTATAAGGTTCAAAAACACAAAAGTAATTAGTTTGTTGTGTTATTTTTGATTTTATGTTTTTTAAAAAAGAGTTTATACAATTTTGTGTCGAATCGTATGTAGAAATATCATCACGTTTTATAACTAGTTTATTTAATTTGTCATGAATAGTTTCTATTTCTCCTAGGAAATTAGTTAAGTTATAAGAGTGTTTATACAATAATGGGTCACTACCCCATGGATTTTTATGTATTAAATCCAAAGCAATCATGGCTTCTTTCATCAATTTGGCCATAGGAACAATTAATATAGATATTATATTTATGAGTTTTTCAATACAATTGTATGCATTTTTTAAATCGTATTCTATATTTAATATTTTGTCACATTTTTGTTGGTAGTTTATAATAATTGAAAAAAAATTTTGCATAACTTTTGAGTATATGCATCCAAGATATATAGTCAAAGTTCGTGTTTTATTATTACAATTCTTGCTATGTATAGGTGTTTTTATCAAATTTTGAACGTAATAACTTTTTTGTAAGTATGTTATATAGTTTACATCATTTAATTTTGTCCATCCCGAATACCATAGTAACCTCTTTAATTGGCCTGGTTTTTTTTTTATACTCGGAGGTGCTTTTGTATACAAAATCACACACAATAATAAAAAAATTAATTTGAAAACTTTTGATGAAGTCATGGGAAAATAATTACTATTAACTATTACTGAAACTTTTTGATTAAAAAATAATTCGACGAAGTGACAAAAGATACGTATTTATTATATTCTGAATTTCTAAATAATAAGACGAACATATACAATAAAACATCTGTCGTATTAAACTTATTTTAATTTTAGTATTATACACCTAACTAAACATTTATCGATAAATTTCCATTTTTTTATCTCTCATTAGCTATAAAATAAATAATTATATTTAAAATTGTTTTAAAAATTAATTTTATAATATTTTATACAGTTTTTAAATGTTTTCATACTGATTGGTATAGTGAACGGTAATTAAAATAACGTATGTCATATGCAATGATATATGATTATTGCAACAAACTAAACATAAACTTTTTCGAGATTTTTTGAAAGAACGTACAAGAAAGACAGGATATTTTGTTTTTCCTAAATTGAATAGAGATTTAATAATGCAAATATATTGGAATTAGATTATATTTATTTCAGATTAAAATTCTATGTAGACCTGTGTTATTTATTTTATCCAAAGTTAATAGTGTTCACTTTTAAATTGTTAATTTATAAATATTAAATTATTACTATTATTAAGACTAAAAATTTAAATATGATATATTCACGAATATCGAAATCACTAAATTTTGTAAAGTTTATTTTAAAACTTATATATCATAAAAAATTTTTCTTGAGATATTTTGGGCAATTGTAGTTCTTAGAAAATAAGAATGTGAACCATTTATTTCAGAATTAGGGTGTAATTATTTTGTATTAACGAATTATGATCATAAGCGGATCGCCGAATAAAGTAAGTATTGCTAATAACAAACTCACGAATGGCGTCCTTTTAGCAGTTTTTTTAATGAAATACGATAAAAATTTTCCACTTTCTCAACATTATTGAATTTTTATAAAAATATGTAATAATAATTTATGTCTTAAATAAATTTTCTTATTATATACATATAACATCTAAGCAGCCGGAACAACGTATCGTTTTCCAAGCATAGGTCATATTAGTCTGTTAATAGCTATCACTGATTAGCTGTCGGGAGAAATAATTTATACTTTACTTCTATTAATTGCACCTGCCTACTACCAATGTTTGAACATACTGAACAAATTCTTACAGTTAAACACCAGCTAGCCAAGTCATTAGCGAATTTTTTAGTTTCATTAAGTGGATCTATAGTTTTTAGTAGTTCAATTAGCAAACCAACCTAATATTATATAATATGTAAGCATATTATGATTAAAACAACAGTTACGTCGTGGTACTATTGTCCGAGTCTTAAACACTGTAGCCTGACACGTTTTAAACATTTTCAAGATTAAGAATTTGTTCTAGGATTTCATGACGTACACGAAATGAATGTACAAGATAAATATTTTATTCGGCATCGGTATTTTATAAAAAATATCAAATTTAGTACTAAGGATTCATAAGATTATTGTGTACGTTTATAAGAGTAACAAGACTAAGGATTTCAACTATTACCAGCACAAATTACTTGTTAAAATACTACCAACAACGTGCCGTATAAAGAGATCCGTCTTGTTTTGAAATCGAAACCTTTGTACCTTTGTTAAAAAAAAAGAAAGGAATGTAGTTCAGTAATAACAATTTTTATTTTTATTTCATTTCATATAAATTTTATGAAAATCTGACTATTTACCTAGTAGAAGATTCAAAATGACAAATGTTCCATAAAAATTAATTTTTTTAACGTTATGATGAGTGGTTAACTTTCAGGGACATATTTCGTTCAATGATTCACAACAATAAGGATATTGACGAAATAGAAAAGTTTCATCATCTAAGAGCGGCTCTCAAGGGTGAAGCGGGAAAGGTGATAATGTCATTAGAGACAACTGATGACAACTATTCAATTGCATGGAGTTCGGAGATTTTCTCGACAAAAGGTGCTTGATTTTAGAATCTGTTGAGGCGGCTAGTCATATTAAGTCCAACGCGGAAGCTTCACGGGACAAATCAAAGGAGCTAGAGAGAAGGCGTCAATGGTCAAAGGCATTTGTTGTATCTAACAGAGAAGCACAGCCGGCAAAAAGACGTCAAACTGTGGTCTTACAGACGACAACAAAACTGTCGTCGTGTCCGATCTGTAAGGGTAATCATTGGGTGCATAAGTGTGAAAAATTAGCAACAGGCACAATTGATGAGAGAGTTCAACAAATTCGTGAGGCCAGGTTGTGTCTAAACTATCTTCGACCAGGCCACTATGCTGCAGTTTGCAAAAATGGCAGTTGCAAATTGTGTGGAAAGGGTCATAACACGCTTATTCACCGAAACAATGAAGTGGCCCAGGCAGAGAAAACTGTAGCAAATGTAGCAAAAGNTAGCCCAGGTAGAGAAAACTGTAGCAAATGTAGCAAAGGCTGAAGGCGGATCGGTTCTGCTGTCTACAGCCATGGTTCGTGTGGTAAATACACAAACCGGTAAGTCTCGTATGGCCAGAGCCCTGCTTGATTCTGGTTTGATGTCTAATTTTATGACGAAACAGTTGGCAAATTCAGTACAACTCTATCAAGTAAAAACTAATCTCACCATCTTCGGAATTGGTAATTCTTCAAACGGGGCCTTAGGTCGCGTTCATTGTCAAATTCAGGCTACAACTTCGACCTACAAACAGTGTACATCATTTGTATTACTGAAGGATGTGACAGACCGTATACCAATAACACGTGTACCGTTAGCGTCTGTTCTGATTCCTAGTCAAATTCAACTCGCAGATCCGAAGTATAATGAGCCGAGTTATATAGATTTATTGATAGTCGCAGAACTATTCTTCACATTGCTCAGAGGAGAACATGTTACATTATCGGACTCTATTACGTTGCAAAATACGGTGTTTGGTTGGGTAATTGCGGGACGCGTAAACAGTAATGAAAATACAGAAACAAATATTCAGTGTCTCACTGCGATTACACAGCCAGACGAAGATTTAAACACACTTTTGCGTAAGTTGTGGAAGCTTGAAGAACATAATGACATGACAATACAAAACTCAAAAATAACAGCGTGTGACAAATTTTATAGAGAAACAACACGGCGAGATACAGACTGACGGTATGTAGTAAATTTACCGCTATGCAACGAAATCCTGAAAAATCTTGGCGACACGAAAACAATGGCAATCCGTCGATTCTATGCATTAGAAAAATGACTGGAATCCTGTCCAGAGACAAAAGCGGCCTATACACTGTTTATGAAGGAGTATGAGACATTGGGTCATATGTATGAAGAGACACAACCGATAAGACGGACATTACCAGAAGCATACTTGCCACATCATTGCGTGATTAAGGCAGAGAGTACCACCACCAAACTACGCGTGGTTTTTGATGCGTCAGCAAAAAGCACAACGGGCATCTCACTAAATCAATCAATGATGGTCGGCCCCACAATTCAAGAGGATCTATTTAATATAATATTGACAATATTCTAATCAGGTTCCGGCTACACTGCTATGTTATAACAGGGGATATTGAGAAAATGTACCGACAAGTTAAAATATGCGAACCGCACCAGCAGTTACAAAAAATCATATGGCGTGATCGACCCACCGAAACATTAAAGACGTATGTTTTGACCACCGTAACATATGGTACAGCGGCTGCGCCGTACTTGGCTGTCCGAACCTTGCATCAGCTTGCCAAAGATGAAGGTGATAACTTACCAGTCGCTGCCCAAGCAATAAAATGTGATTTTTATGTTGATGATTTATTAACCGGAGCTGACACACTGACAGAAGCTAGACGCCTGCAACGTGATGTTAGTTCATTATGCGAAAAAGGCGGTTTTCTATTACGAAAGTGGTGTGCTAACCATACTAGCCTGTTGAGTCATTTACCAGAAAATCTAAGGGGTACCATTCACAAGTTAAATTTTTCGGACAGTATAGTCACTAAGGCACTTGGGGTGAATTGGGTACCCGTGACAGATAGTTTACACTATAAGGTCACGGAATGGAAACCAGCGAAAACAGTGAAAAGGCGAGTCGTCACTTCAGACATCGCTAAGTTATTTGACCCACTGGGATTGATGGGTCCCATTATTGTTACAGCAAAGATTTTTATTCAATCTTTATGGCGCCTCAATACAGGATGGGACAGCCCATTGCCGCTCGAATACACCAAGCAGTGGATAAAATATCGTAAAGGTTTAGTAATGTTAAACAATATTACTATTCCTAGACGGTTAACTATCTCTACGAAGCAAGGCATTCAAATTCACGTATTTTGCGACGCGTCCGAGTTGGCATACGGCACATGTGTATACATACGCTCGATAAACGATGACTCAATCGTGTACTGTCAACTGTTATGTTCGAAATCACGTGTAGCCCCATTACGAAACACTACTATACCACGTTTAGAATTATGTGCCACGTTACTGGGTGCCAGACTACTTGACAAGGTAAAGACGGCACTAAAGGGTGTGGTGAAAATTAATCGTTGCTGTTTATGGAGTGATTCTACTGTGGCATTAACATGGATAACTGACCAACAAGGTAGTCGATCATGGAAAACATTTATAGCAAATCGTGTAGGCGAAATTCATGACCGAACGGCGGGTTGTGAGTGGTTATATGTCAAAGGAGAGGATAATCCAGCCGACGTTATTAGTCGGGGAATTTCTGCCTCACAATTGGCTGAAAACCAACGTTGGTTCTGTGGGCCTGAGTGGCTAACATATCCAGAAGACGCATGGCCAAACAATACTAAACCCCAAGTCGAAGAGCCTATCCCTGAACGGCGCATACAACAAGTCAGTTTGATCAGCACTGAAGTGACGGACGATACGATTCTCAAACGGTTTTCACGAGTAGAACGGCTACAACGGGTCACAGCATACATGTTACGATTTATTAAAAATTGTAAAAGAGAAAAAACAACAAGATTCATTGGTGAATTATCAGTATCAGAANTTAATCGTTGCTGTTTATGGAGTGATTATACTGTGGCATTAACATAGATAACTGACCAACAAGGTAGTCGATCATGGAAAACATTTATAGCAAATCGTGTAGGCGAAATTCATGACCGAACGGCGGGTTGTGAGTGGTTATATGTCAAAGGAGAGGATAATCCAGCCGACGTTATTAGTCGGGGAATTTCTGCCTCACAATTGGCTGAAAACCAACGTTGGTTCTGTGGGCCTGAGTGGCTAACACATCCAGAAGACGCATGGCCAAACAATACTAAACCCCAAGTCGAAGGCCTATTCAAGAACGACGCATACAACAAGTCAGTTTGATCAGCACTGAAGTGACGGACAATACGATTCTCAAACGGTTTTCACGAGTAGAACGGCTACAACGGGTCACAGCGTACATGTTACAATTTATTAAAAATTGTAAAAGAGAAAAAACAACAAGATTCATTGGTGAATTATCAGTATCAGAATTACAGGACGGATTAAACGTGTGGGTACGAAAATCACAACACACGGCATTTTCAACAGACATTAACAACTTGAAAAATGGTCGAGAAATAAATAAAAATAATAAGCTAAAAACACTACACCCAATTTTAGACACATCCGACATCTTGCGTGTTGGAGGGTGGATTTAAAATGCACAAGTAGATTATGACGAAATATGTTTATAATATTTATTGAAATATAGAAGGATATCCTTGCTACGTATGACTTATAAAATTCTCTCTAACATTATTCTTAACCGCCTACGACCATAAGCAGTAGATGTTATAGGAGAATACCAAAATGGTTTCTTAGTGGGAAGATCATATTGATAATATATTCACGTTCAAGCAACTGATAGAGAAATATTATGAATTCAATACGAAATATCATTTACTATTTATGGATTTTAGAGAAGCACATGACTCGGTTAAAAGAGAAGCATTATGGAAACATCTAGAACTATTTGATATACCAGCCAAATTAAGAGCAATAATCCGAATGTGTATAGAAACAGCAAGATGCAAAGGAAGATTTGGACAAACACGTTCTTAAGAGTTTAAAACCACAATTGGACTAAAACACGGTGATGCACTCTCTCCTATACTCTTTAACATCGCACTAGAGGTGGTAGCTCGAAGCATACATAATAAATGTAAAGGAATTGATATCGAAAATTATTAGCATATATCAATATNGAATTGATATCGAAAATTATTAGCATGTATCAATATTAGCATATGCTGATGATATCATAGTACTTGGAGAAAATGAAGACGATATAAAACTAGCAACAGAATAATTAATACGAAGTACCAAGACAATAGGATTTGAAATAAATAAAAACAAAACCAAGTATATTTGTATAACAAAAGAACCACCAAAAATACATCAGAGAAGAAATATATAGAACGGAGAGTATAAATTTGAAAAAGTACACAGTTTTAAATATTTTGGTACGGAACTAAACAGCCTAAACAACAATCACGAAGAGATTAAGAAACGTATTCTAGCAGGTAAAAGATGTATAAATGCGCTATCTAAATGCCTGCGTTCAAAGCTACTATCAAAGAAATTGAAAATGAGACTGTACAAAGTAATAACAAGAACTATCATAACGTATGCATGTGAGACATGACCAACAACGTTAGAAGATGAGAGAAAATTGGCTATAGTAGAAAGAAAGTTTCTAGAGATGTGAAGATATGTGGACCTAAAATAAATAATGTAACACAAAGATATGAAATTAGGTCAAACGAAGAAGTCTATAATGCCTTTGGAGAATCAAATATAATTCGTAAATTTGTCCCCCGTAATACTTCCGGGGGACGAATTTACCAAAATGTTAATTGCATTTGAACATAGAAGATTAATGCATGCTGGCCCGTCGCATCTTCGAGCATCTTTGCGGCAACGGTTTTGGATTTTTGGAGATCGCAACTTAACTAAAAGNCATACATAATAAATGTAAAGGAATTGATATCGAAAATTATTAGCATATATCAATATCGCAACTTAACTAAAAGGGAAGTCCAAAATTGTGTAAAATGTTTCCGTTGGAGATCAAAAACCGCCACTCAACTCATGGGTTCGTTAGCCGCAGCACGCGTAAATCCATCACCAGCGTTTACCGTGTGCGGTGTAGACTACGCCGGGCCCTTTCATTTAAGAGTTGGTGGAAAACGAAGTCGAACAACTACCAAGGCATACGTAGCACTATTTGTATGTTNCAACCAAAGCATACATAGCGCTATTTGTATGTTTCGCCACACGCGCAGCGCACTTAGAACTGGTGTCAGACTTAATGACAGAAGCGTTTCTTGCCGCATTTAGACGTTTTATAGCAAGACGTGGAAGGCCTGTTGAAGTAAACTCTGACAATGGGATAACATTCGTCGGAGCTGATAATTTACTATGTGGTTTCATACAACACTCACAAGACACAATTGCTAAAACCGCCGCCCAAGAAGGCATACAATGGAAGTTTATCCCTGCACACGCGCCGCACTTCGGAGGCTTGTGGGAAGGTGGCGTAAAGGCAACAAAATATCATCTCCGACGAGTGATAGGGCAAGCAACGCTGTCGTTTGAAGAACTTACAACAATATTGGCACAAGTCGAAGCAGTTCTCAATTCACGGCCACTGTATGCATTATCCGACGATCCATCCGATCTACAACCAATCACGCCAGGTCACTTCTTAATTGGACGTCCATTAACATCATTTCCAGAACCCGACTATACAAAAACTAAGGCGTGGAAACAGAGATGGCACATGATACAAAATATGACATAACAGTTTTGGAAGCAATGGCAATCAGAATATTTACATCAGCTACAACAGCGAACAAAATGGACGAAACCACAACAAAATTTACGTCTTGGTGAATTGGTACTAATAAAAGAAGACAACTAGGACGTATAGAACAAGTTTACGCGGGACCTGATGGAAAAATTCGTATAGCAACATTAAAAACAGCAACAGGTTCAATCCGCCGACCCATAACACGACTCAGTAGACTGCCTATTGTTGAGCCTGGAAATTCATCCAGTTCAACAGGGGGCGGAATGTCGGCGAACAAAGAGGCAGGTAGTTCGGACCGGTTGACCTNAGAGAAGCAGGTAGTTCGGACCGGTTGACCAACTGCCTAGCGTCACAGAAGAGATCGGTACTACCTGACAGGCTGAAAGGTAATGAGGGTGGCTTGTAGTCTCAACGACGGTCAGTTTTCAGAACCAAGTAGAAGAAGAAGGACGCAGCAGATATTCCACCTTTTTATATTACATATTTATTTAGTTATTTTTGTTGAAAATTATTTTCTTAAATAAAGCAAGTCAGTTTGTGTTTGATCATTCACTATAAGTAAGTTTGTTTTTATTTTATTGCATAGAATAAATTTGTCTACAATAGACAAATTTACACATAACACAATATTATTGAGAGTAACATTTAGAGCAATTCTAAATAAGTTAACTGCATGAGTTCACCTGCGCACAGCTACATTAGGCATAATTTACATAATCAGAAAGAAATAATTAGAGTATAGTGCCTTAACTATATTTTAATTATTTCTATTTTATAGTCATCGTTATCGGCGCATTGCGGTGGTCGATTGATGTCTAGGGTACTCGTGCAAGGCGGTACTCTACTGTTATATGTCGATGGTACTCTGCGGATATCACGAAATGTTAAGGACTATTTACGCAATACTCACAGATTAAGCTACACGACATAACGCATATAGTATTACTTGTTAACCAGCGTAGGTTACTCATGCAGTTAGGTTATAACGACATTTGATATATTTTACACATGGTAGAGCTTCATACTCTGTTTTTTTATTATTTTATGATTACAGTCCATTCACGAGTATTAACAAAGGGATATAAATATTATTTTTCATTTTTTTTTTTTTTATGATAATGTATATTACATTAGCTTTAATTTAAGATATATATAAAAGTGTCAAACTTTCCGGAATACTTTCAAAAGTTATTTTTTGTGATAAAGTTGTCATTTTAAATCTCCCCTGTGGGCAGGTAATTGGTCAAATATGTAAAAAAAAAGTATACCAAATGAAAGGTATAGACATCATGCATCTATAAAAAAAATTATATTGATTTGTTCATTTTTGAAAAAGTTATAGCAGTTTTAAGTAAAAAAAATTGAAAAAATTAGTGATTTTAAAATTTGTAATTTTTTTGGAGATTTCCTCCATTTACGGGGAACAAAGAAAATTTTTTCAATTTTAGAGGGTAATGTCTTCGACTAGATACGATTTGTAATCTTTTGACGTATTGTTGAAAGAAATCGGTTCGGTGGGTGCTGAGAAAAAGTGGCAACTGCTACAAGATAAAAAAACACTTCAAAGTAGAAATAATACCTTAAAAATATATTTTTAACATATTCCAAAAATTTTATAATCGTTAAAATAAACTACTGCAATATTATTATTTGTTTAAAAGTTATTGGATTATTGGATTTAATGACTCACTCTGTATATAAATAATACTTTTAACAGAAAATATATGACAAGTTTTTGTTCAGTTACCACGTAATGAATTCATTTACGTTGTATAGTATAACATGTGAATGATAGAAATATTCCAAATAAGATAAAACTATATAAATTAATTTATACAAATTTTATATAATTATATTTCATAAAAATTCTAACATGGTTTTAATGCATTAAACTGAAATTTACGGATGTTAATGGAATTTAAATAAAATTATCGTTGATATTGTTTTCTTTTATTGGAAGAAAACTCATTGATGAAATTAAACCGCATAACACGATAAATACCTTGCTGATTTGATAATACATATTACAATGAATGTAGCAAAATTTAAAAGCTAAAAAATATTAATTCATATAAATTTTAAGTAGAAATAAAACTTTAATTATTCATTAAAACTTGTCTATTAAATATTACTTTCTTAACTCTCTTTGTTGATTTTTTAAAGGTTAAAACAAGGTTACATCCTAAAATAAAACTGTTTTGTAAAATTCAACAAAATCAATCATTTTCGTACACATTTTAAGTCAAATAATTTATGTTTTTCTCATTAATATATTTAAAAAATATAAATATATATTTGAATTTAACAAAATATATTGAGCGTTCACATAAATTATATCTTACAACTCAAATAACAACTCAAACAATTCAAATAACGTTAAAAGTTCTGGGGAATTCTATCAATAAAAACTAATATACACATTACTATGCTAGGTTAGAATTTATTTTTAAGTTGGGTTACATTTTTTAGTAGTCAGTCAATGATTTATCTATTATTTTGTTCTTTTAATGGAAATTGAAACAATAGTTAATGTTTTGTAAAAAATAATATTCCCTACAAAGTAGAAATCACTACACATAGAGAATGGAATATTAAACACCTGACTGAGAAAGGAGGATTTGTAATATATACAGATGGATCCACAAAATCAGGAAAGGTAGGTGCTGGCATTTTTTGGTTTAAAAAAGCGAATAAATGTCAGCATGTCAAAGGGCACAACATCCTCTGTTTTCCAGGCAGAGGTAATGGCAATACTGATAGGGGCTCAGAACCCGCTGGTATACTAGAATAGGAAGATAACTATCTTAAGTGACAGTCAAGCGGCTTTGAAAGCACTCTGTAATGATCAGGTGAATTCAAAGCTTGTCCTCAAATGTAGGGAAACTTTAGAATCACTATCGAGGTTCAATAAAGTTACTCTAACATGAGTACCAAGACACAATGGTGTCACTTGAAATGAAAAAACTGACTTTCTAGCAAGGAAAGGAGCAGAGAACACTTATGTTGGACCAGAACCAGTGGTAGGACTCACTGGCCAATCACTCAAAATGCTACCGAAGAATTGGTGTAATGAACAACACAGGAAAATCTGGAAGTACTTGGTAGTACCTAGAAAATCTAAAATGTTTATCAAGACCCCCGGTCTACTATTGGGTGATTTTAATAGCATGACTAGATATCATATAAGCACTTTGACGGGTCTTCTGCCAGGACATGGTCATTTGCTTTAAAATCTTTAGGCAATGGGGGTATCGGAATCATCATTATGCAGAAAGTTTGAAGTAGAAGAAGAAGACTCATTTCACATTATGTGCGGATGTGAAGCCTTGTACACACTAAGATCAAATTACTTGAGTAAACTTTTTCCTGAAAAAGAAGATACTAAAACCTAATACACAGAGAGTTATTTAATTTCGCCGGAAAGACAGCACTCTTTGGTCATCCATAATGGGTGAATTGATAGTCCACTCCTTATACAATGATAAATATAATGTAATAACACTTCGATGATACTTATCATAACACTTAGGTGGGTAAACCGAATCAAGACAATACGGTATAAGGTGCGCACAATGACCAACAGGCCTGAGTGCATGGGCATTATGTCCACCTCGTTTTGCAACAAAAATAAAAGAACACGAAAAAGACGTGGATTACCAAAGGACAGAAAAATCCGCAGTAGATGAACACGCTAAAAACAAAGGACATGACTTTCAATTCGATAAAGTAAAAATACTAAACAAAGAAGCTCATTTTGGCAAACGAATGTACTAAAAGGCAATAGAAATCAAAAAATGTCCAGAGAATTTCAACAGAGAAGACGGATGGAAAATAAGCAAAACTTGGTTACCCATCATACACCTGACAAAAAGAAAATCAACTAACGACACTGAAAACAGTTCATTATAAGAAAAAGTTACTATCAACGTAATGGAAAACTGTCGGTGCAGAAAAGGAAGATCAAAATGCCAAGAATGTCAAAAACAACAACAATAATCAAAAACAAAGTCGTCAACAAAAACAAGATACGGTAAACAACATGAGTCATAAACAGATATGATAAACAACCGATACGGTAAACAACTGATATGATAAACAACCAACGTATAAAAACAGACTGATAACAATATAGGCCGCCAGTATAGTTTCAGCCACCGAGCAGTAACTATCGTTTTTATGAAAATATAACACTTAACCTGCTCACAGGAAGGAATTGAAAATATCAACTTTTTTACAAAAACTAGCTTTTTCAACTTAACTTTTGAAAATGTTTCGGAAATATTACATCCTTTAAACATATTTCAAATTAAAGCTTATGTTATGTACTATAAAATGAAAAAAAAAATTTGTCCCGGCACAGAACTCATCGAGCCTAAACATGAGCAACTGTTACCCAACACAATAAGATGCATAATATGTGGAGCATCAAATTGTGCTAACATAAATTTTATGTTTAAATTTTTAACGGAGCTTAATTGACTGAGGTTTGAGCACCTATACGTTAAAAAGAAAACTCAGGATCAGCATAAATAAAAATTATTTAGTGAGATTATGGATAATATGGTAAAACAATTCTATTGTTCTATCAAATAATAGAAACTCGTTTCCTTACTTACTGAACATTCTATAGTTTTTAAAAATTTGAAGTGCTATTAGACTAATTTATGTTAAATTCAATGAATTCCTTATTCAAATATTCATAAAAACTAATGTTTTTATTATGTTTTCAATTAATTACATAATAGTCTTTTAAATTTGTAACATTGTTAAACTTATCTTTTTGAGACTAAAAATTTAATTTATTGTCCTTATCATAGGTACATTCAGTTTAAATCATGGGGACACTAAATTTATTTAACTTTTTTTTTTTGGTTATCAGGGATAAAAATCCAAGTAATCCTCATGACTTTGCTTTTTAGAAAAAAAATGTTCTCTAGCATACATGCCAAAATAAAAAATTCAGTCACTCCCTTTTAAATGAGTTCTTAGTATACCACTGGCAAGCATCTTTATAATTCTATCTCATTTCAAATAACTTTATGATGTGTAGTTTGCAATATGTTAATTTTATTATAATTTGTTAATAATAAGAATTGTGAACAGGATAAATTTGAATGATAGTAGCAGTGATTGCAGTTCAATAAAATATAAATTTATTGATTTAGAGCAAGGGACATAAGTCATTAAGATAATTAAGACATTAATTTTATTTTAATGCACAATTTTATATAATTTTCGTTTATTAACAAATAACTTAGTAACGAAATTGTATAAGTAACAGAGATAAGTAATAATTTATTTAAAAATGTAACTATTGTTTTATTTTTATACATACAATAGAAAAAAGGAATCACAAGTTAAAAAAAAAGTTTAATATATAATTATTTGAATTATTATAATTATATAGGTAATAATATATTACTAAAACTCAGTTCAATGGTAACTCAAAGAAATCACCGATTTGGCGGTATGAAGTGTTAAATTTACAGTATTCCATTATATGTGCATTTTCACATGAGTCTGTGTTGGTAAATAATATTTCATAAATCACCAGTGTTACACCAGAAGCTGCTAATATTGCTCCAAACAATGCCAAACAGTAAGCAGGAATCTAAAAGGAATAATAAGTTAATTTTCTAATTTGATCATTTTAGTGTAATCTTATAGATATACATTTATCACAAAATTTAGTCACAGAAAAAAAGATATTAATATATATATATATNTTGTTCTCATTGTTTATAACAATTGACTAACTTCTGAACACTCTGTATATTTATAGTTTTAAAAAAATGAAATAGTAAAATATTTAGTCTAAAAATATGTTTTTTTATTTTAAGTTAATAGGTTTTAAGTTTTTTTTGTTCATGAATAAGGTATATTAAATGATATAATTTTAAAACGTGTTACAAATTTATCTGTCTAGTTTCAAAATCTTTTTACAATGAATTCATAATCAAAGGTAAATATTTTTGGTAACTTAAATTATTTATTCTGATTAAATTTCAAAATGAAAATTCGTTTTATTTTTTAATAAAAAACTTGATATTGATTATAATTACTAAAGTTAAATCAATATTTTTAAAAACCTTTAGATGAAATAAAGGCTTCATCTTTAATTAATCACTCTGTAAATATAATAACATGATGATGTGAGTAATTGTATGAACACTAAACTTAAATAGACAATATTTTTAACTTAACACTAGATACAATTTTTTGCTTTGGTAGTCACACCAAAACCTTTTAAAATGTTGAATTAAACTGATGTTTTCATAGGCGCGAATTGAATAAAATTTTTGGGAATCTAATTTATTATACCTTCCTTTAAAATATTTCTATAATTATACACATGTAAGTTTAGTCAATTTTTGTGTTTTTGGTGTGAACTATAACAGAATTTTGATAAGACTAAGCCCGTTCTAGACTTCCATGTTACAAATATGATTATTTTGTAATTTTATTCAAGTTCTTAAGTATTCTAAGTAAATGATAAAAAATTTATGACAATATTTGGCTTAATATAAAAAATTCATGTTCATCACATAAAATCACACTTAAATTTGAAACTTATAAATTACTAACTTTGTTGGTCCAATGTTCATCTGATAATTTAATGTATATTGCTGCTGGCAAAACAAATGCAAGAGGAATTGCAGCGATAACACCCTTAAAATAGCAATTAATTGTAAATTATAGTTTATCGTAATAATTAAAATTTCGTTGATGAAAAAAATAAAATATCATTTGTTACATTAAATTAAGAAGACTTACATTTAATTCTAGTGCTATACCAAGACAATTTGTTGATATAGACACTAAGTAAGTGATTAATAGAATTGATAAAGTAATAATAGCGTGTCTTTTCTTTGTCATAGGAATAGGCATAGGATCTGTACCACCTCTGAGTGTTTGATCGACCACTGCTTTAGTTACCATACATTCTAGCGGAAACGTTAAAAGTGTAATCAACGAAAACAACAACCTAGATATGTTAATTAAATCGTCGTTCCAACAATAGTTTTCCAGTAAATCACCTATGCATAAATTTGCGTTTAGATGAACAATTAATTTGATTAAAATTTCAATCAGTTACTACCTTGTGTCAAGTCACCAAACGTGGCGTAACCGACAAGTCCAAAAGCAATCATCATTGAAACAGATATGGTAACAGCGAAATGAGTTACCCAGTTCCATATATTTTGAGATGCTCCTTGAATAGAATCATACAACAAAAATACATTATGGTGACACATAAAACCTGAAAAACATATTTTTATGTATAAAAAATACATAGCAAAAGACTTAACGTGTAAAAATCCACTTAAAAACTAATTAATTTTTTTTTAGTTATAAAAAAATATTTTGTTTTGATTATTATTTTTAAAATTTTTATTTTTAAGTTATATCGACTTAAATAAATAATTTATCTGGTGACCTTACCGAATGACATAATTCCAACCGCTTGTATAGCACCCGGACGCGCAAAATCCCATGTACTAATGTCACCTACATTAGCAGTTTTGGACCTGTAATAAAAAATTATGGACGATTAATATATAATTATTTGATAAGTACAAAAGTGTACTTTTGTATACTTGATACTATATAAGTGAAGCAGCTTACATGACTTCGTAAAGAGATTCATATTTGATGACAATTGTACCAAAGATGATTAACACCATAATAAAAGATACAATAGACGCTTTAGCTAGTCTTGCGACGTTTCTTAACATGCACAAAGGTGTGGTGATAAATATTGTAGCCATTGCTATAACAAAGTATCTCTGGGCAAAAATTGAATCGAGAGGTAATGAAAACAAACGTACTAACACTTTAGTCGCTGTATCGCCTACTATGATATTATAACTTATCATCGCTAAAAAAATATCAACATTGTAAACTATCAGTACTTTCAAATTTTAAATTAATTAATTTGCAATTGGTAAATGTATTACAGTTCTTAGAAATGCAATTTCTGTAAATAACATTAACATGGTTTATTTTACATATTATCTAAATTATTATACTATTACTATATTATCTACTTATTTGGGACATTTCTGATGTCTTTTAAAAGTTATCTGAAAAAATCAATTCTAAACAATTTTCTGGTAACAATTTTTAAAATAAAATCATTTTAATATATTGATTAAAAAGTATTTATCTAGTAATATACACTATAAATTGTATCTAAAATTATACAACAATTATAATACAAGTAAAGTATTCGTGATAGCAACATTTGCTGACGACATACTCATATCATATCAACGATGCAGCCCATTACCATCATGCGCATGTGGACCATATAGAATTGTGGTTCAAAAATTGACAAAAAAACTTCAAATCAAGTTACTTTTATTCTTTTTGGAAATATGCTCAGCTATCAAAATCAATAATGTTATAATCCCTACTCAGGATGAAACAAAATACTTTGGTATTATGTTGGATTAGCGCTTAATTTGGTGTCCCCATCTCAAGGATAAAAGAAAAAGCCAAAGCTAGACTTCATCTTTTCCGCCCTCTTCTCAAGTCCAATTGCCACTTAGAACTAAAATTCTGATCTACAAGTCTATTATAGGACTAGTATTGTCTTATAGTATTCAAATTTGAGGGCCTACAAAGCCCTAAAGTATACGTCCAATACAGGACGCATTCCAAAACATTTCACTTCGAATACTAACTAATGCCCCTTAGTATATAACCAACAACAACCTACATAAAGATGTAAAAATTAAAATAGTTAACAAACTTGCCAAATACAGTAAAAAAGATTCCAGTCAAAATTAACTCGAATATAATAAACCCCCTAATAAAACGAATGTAATCTACCAATTTCCCCGATAACCCTTCACACAGACTCAAAAGAAACTGGAATCGTGACCTAATAACATAAAACCGTTACAAAAAATTTAAAATACATTTTTTCTTTTTTTTTTTTTGGGTCTTACCAATGGGTGGCTTCCTTGCGTACTATTTACTCGAGCATGTACATTTACTTGACAGGAATAAAACTCATTGTAAATATTGTACAAATTGTTTTTGCTCATAAAACAAAAAATTTAACGACTATTAAAAATGTTTGTTAATTATTTGACATTGTCGTTGTTTGGAATCGATTCTAATCATTTAGATTCATATAGGATTTTAAGTGAATAATACAATGTACATATTTTAGAGACTTTTGTAGTAAAATAAAAAATTTCTTCCTATTAGATTACAGTAAAAAAAATAATTATTTTAAAATAAGTAAAAATAGTTCTCTTAAGTTTAAGTTTTTTATCTATTGAATCTACATCTTACATTAAAAAGGTATTTCTAGAACATTTTTTTTGGCAAGAAAGTAGTGATGGGCATTTTCGAATATTTTAAATTATCGAATAACTATTCAAATTATTTTTATACAACCGAACAGTTCCTTTTTAGCATAAACTATCGAATAGTTTTTGAATGACTATCTAATAGTTCGATTGTTATTATCCGATATTTCCCATCACTACAAAAAAGTAATCGATTTATTCTACTATCACACGTTTATTTCACATTTTTTGTATCAAATTTAAATAATTTTGTATGTGAACATCAGATATAATTTACTAAACATGGCACTCGCTAAATAAATATAAAAATCTTTGTAAATATCAACCTATTTTTAACGAAAGGCGTTGAAAAAATCAATGTTTAAACAGCTTTTATAATAGAATTCAAAACTATTAATCGAATAAAAAAGTAGTAACCATATGTTTTAATTCAATTACAATTTAAAATCTTTTATTATTCTACAAATTGAAAATTTTTTTTATTAACTTATCAAGTAGAATTTATAACCTTTTTAATTAAACATGAATTAATTTATTATAGTTTTATTTCTCTATATAAGATGACACACACAAATACCTTTTATTTGGTTATTTGCACTATAGATAAGGTAATTTTTTTGTGTCTAAAAAAATATTAAATTTGTACATTAATATCATCGGTAAATAACTAATTAGAAAACACTAATGATTCGTCAGAACAAGCTCATAGATTTCTTTTTAAGATAGAATAAAGTTTATAATTATTAAGAATATCTCGAAATATTATAAATCTTAATGTCAGTAAATAAATCATAATAATTAGTAAAAAATTTAATTAAAAATGATTAGTTTAACTATCATTTACTCTTTTTATAATTAAAATGATTTTTGAATTCAGTTTTCAATTTTATTAATTTTAAAGGAATAATGTCATGAACATTGACACAACCACCAAAACTATTTAAACCAAATAATACTTAATATAATTAACTCAAAAAATATTTTAACTATTACAAAAAAATTTTAGTTAATAACACCATCAAGCCTTTAATTAATTAAATATTTTAAAAAAATATTTGTTATTTTTATTCTTTGTATTAGCAATAAAAATAAATAATATACCTAATTTCAAAACATAAATTATAAAGTAAAATTGTAAAAAAATATGAGATTTGACCTATTTAACTAATTAACAAACAACTTAAAAAAATGATTATTATTATTTAATATTCACTTAAACAATATTTTAAGGAAACAGGTAAATTATTACAAACAATGAGAACATTAGAAACCCGTTTCCTTAATTACCAAACACTCTATTAATATATTTATATCTTTTTTTAATTTTTTGATTTGAAGATTGTATCCTTAAATATTGTTTTCATCTCCATTTAGTATTTAATAATTAATTATAATTACCTATAAAAGGATAGGTGAATTGAAGAAACGAAAGAACTATATAGCCACACTTGCCAAAAGCACATTTCATGAGCGATTGATAAGAAAAAGAACCACTTATATGCGCGCTCCTTAACATGAGGACCAACGAATAATCTGTGATGATCGCCACAATTATCAGCAAAATTACTCCCAGACCAACACCAGATAGATTAAACGCATATGGTATACCTAAAAAAATAAAAATCCTTTAGTTAGAATTAGGCCAGTCAACGAAGGAGTAATTTTGGCGAATGGCGGAAAAAATTCCCAACCAAATTTTTTTTTTTTTTTAAGTTGAATTAAGATATGTATAATGACATACTAAAAGTCCTCATCGATTGGAATTGAGCTTTTTTTTTACAGCCTCACAAAAGTTCAAAAACATGAGCTTTTTTAATTTTCTCAAAAAATATTTGACATACAAAAAAAAGTTTCGTACAAAAGGTGTTTAAAAAACAATTATAAACAAAAAAGGTATATGATATTTTTTCATTTAAACAAATATTTTTCGAGTTACATTACATTTAATATGAGTACTAAAATTTATTTTCCAATTTTTTTCACTTTACGGTTACTTTTTATCATGTTATACTTACATTAGACATAATGTTATAAATGCATATTTGTGTATGTGTGAGTTTATTTATTTATAGTATCATTAATGTGTAGTGTATATTAAGATACAACCGATAGAGTAGGTAATTGATTTGTCGCTATATTGTTTAAACACCAACTAAACGTCAAATTGTACATGCCCAAACAATTATATTATGTCAATTGCCACCCGAATTTCTGCTAATAAGAAAGATAATTATCATAAAACAGTCTTTAGTCAGTTGTTGGAGCTGGTAAAAATTGTGGCTGCCAAAAAACAGGGCTTTAATGTTCTATTATATGTGAACATTGCAAAGGTCAATGGCGTACAAACTCAATAGAAATAAAGATTGAAGATTAAGAATATTGTACTTTTGTTGAAGATATATTCTATCAAAATTTAGAATGGGAAAATGAATAAGAAAATGGAAAAAAATTTTTTTTGATACTATTGTCAAATAACTTTATAGTGGAGAAATCCTCCATCGATTACATACTTTGCACTAGTAATGCATATAACTTGTATTTAGGATATAAATAAGAAAATAGGAGATCATGTAGCTTTTATAATAATTCATTAAAATTTTAAAATTAAACACTATCTACAGATTTGCATCAAGACATTGTTTTTTGATAATGATTTTAATCACTGTCACATATCATCTATACTACTAGAACAAGACCAATTTTAGACACTTTATGACAATTAATTTTATCATTACCAGAAAATCTGGCTGGGTTGACAAAAGAGAACATGAGGTAGGTGAAATGAGGAGATCAGTGAAAATAGGCAAGAGTGTGAATGGGGAGGTAGAAAGTTTTAAGTATTTAGGATCAGTAGTACAAAAGAGCGGTGGTATTGGCGAGAATGTAAGACACAGGATTAAGTGCGGGTGGTTGAAGTAGAGAGAAGCGTCTGGTGTCTTATGCAATAAAAGAATTCCAATGAGGCTTAAAGTTAATTCTACAACAACGTAGTGAGACCAGCTATGATGTATGGTTCATAATGTTGGGCGGTTGATAAGAAAGTAGAGCAGAAAATGAGTGTAGCAGAGATGAAAATGCTTAGTTGGATGAGTGGAGTGACTAGAGAAGATAGGATAAGGAACGAGCATATAAGAGGAAGTATAGGTGTTGCATCAATCGTGGATAAGATGACAGAAAATAGACTTAGATGGTTTAGTCATGTTATGAGGAGAGAAGAATTGGAAGCTGTAAGAATAGCTATAGAAATGAATGTTGAAGAAAGAAGAGGTAAAGGAAGACCAAAAAAGAGATTGAGGGATGTTATTGAATGCGATATGAGGACAGCTAATATGAGCGCAGAAGATGTGGGAGATCGTGTCAAGTGGAAGTTTAGGATGAGGGTGACCAAACCCAAGTAGTTGGAATTAAGGCAAAGAAAAAGAAAAAGATTACCAGAAATTCCGGTGGCAATTGACATAATATAATTGTTTGGGCATGTACAATTTGGCGTTTAGTTGGGTTTAAACAATATAGCGTCAAATCAATTACCTACTCTATCGGTTGTATCTTAATATACACTACACATTAATAATACTATAAATAAATAAACTCACACATACACAAATATGCATTTATAACATTGTGTCTAATGTAAGTATAACATGATAAAAAGTAATCGTAAAATGAAAAAAATGGAATATAAATTTTAGTACTCATATTAAATGTAATGTAACTCGAAAAATATTTGTTTGAATGAAAAAATATCATATACCTTTTTTGTATATAATTGTCTTTTAAACAATTTTTGTACGAAATTTTTTTTTTGTAAGTTAAATATTTTTTGAGAAAATTAAAAAAGCTCATGTTTTTGAACTTTTGTGAGGCTGTAAAAAAAAACATGAATTTTTAACATATTAAAAATCTAATTAGTAATTATTTGAAAACAAATCTTTTTTTCTTTTAATTATTATTTTATATGTAATTAGTAATAATATTAAAAATTAGAAGTGATAGAAAAAGTCTAATTGCAGATTTAAAAACAACGCAAAAAGTTGATTTTTTAAAGTATATTTTTGCTTCTGATGAAAGTTCCTTGTAGTCCAGTGCATTTATTTATAGTAACAAACAGTTTTTATTGAAAATTATTCTATCCAGCCTTTTAAATTTTTATACACATAAAAGTAAAGCAAATTATAAGTTCTTTATTATTTTTATAATTTCTCCGTTTAAATTACAATATTTAATTATTGAATATCAATTTCATACTAAATTTAAAAACTATAATTAGCATTTATTCATATATTATATTTTAAAATCAAAGAACTACTAATAAGGATATAATTAAAGAAATGCGAGTTGATGTTGGTGTTACTTTAGAAATAAGAGTTGATGTTATTTTGGAATAATCCACAAATTTCCTATTTAGAAAAAAAAAAAAAATTGGTTGGGAATTTTTTCTGCTATTCGCCAAAATTACTCCTTCGTTGACTGGCCTAATCATTAAATAGAACATTTTATGAGAATTAAAAAAATGGTATCATTAAAATTAATATGCAGTCAAAAAGTTTTATAATTACTATTTATTGTAAATTTATCAGAAAAGCTCAATATTTTTTTGCATTTTTATCGTAATAATTAACTTAAATAGAAGTAATAGTAATAATTTCCTAGGAACTTTTGTTGTTNATGTAATAATAATAATTTCCTAGTAACTTAGATTGTTTAATAAGATTCTACAATTGAAATATTGAGAACTTAATTAATTTTAATGATTTATTTTAACTAAATGAACCAATCAAAACAAAATTGTTAAAAAGATTTACTCAATTGAGCGTATTATAAAATTTGATTATATTTGTAAAAATTCATTGTTAATTCAGGAAAAAAAACAATCAATTTTTTAGAAATGATTTATATAGCAACATGTTACAAAAAAATTTGTAATATTATAGTCTAGTAGTAGCACACACAAATAGAGTTAAAAAAATTATTAAATTACAAAGTAAAATGATTTAATTTTGTAGTTGAAACCTATCATATCAAACTTCATTCGTTAATAAATATTTTGAAAACATTAGAAATTAATGATTTTAATTGTCTTTATGGAGACGATGTAATAACTAACTGTTTAATTGATAAATTANCTTCTCAGCTTCGCATCGAAGCTAAAAATTGGAAATTTTAGTACTCATATTAAATGTAATGTAACTCGAAAAATATTTGTTTAAATGAAAAAATATCATATACCTTTTTTGTTTAAAATTGTCTTTTAAACAACTTTTGTACGAAACTTTTTTTTGTAAGTTAAATATTTTTTGAGAAAATTAAAAAGCTCATATTTTTGAACTTTTACGAGGCTGTAAAAAAAAAAGCTCAAGTCCATTCGATGAGGACTTTTAGTATGTCATTATACATATCTTAATTCAACTTAAAAAAAAAAAAAATTTGGTTGGGAATTTTTTCCGCCATTCGCCAAAATTACTCGTTCGTTGACTGGCCTAAATACTTTATATCAGAAACAATTATTACTAAATGATAATTTATTAAAATTAAAAGTAAATCTAAATTATAATAGTATAAAAATAGTGAACTATTAATTTCAGTTATCATTAGGTTACAGCATAGAATATATTAAATGTCACACGAACAAAATTATAAAATTAAATAAAGTAATACAACAAAATTATGTATAAAAAATTAAAAAAAAACAAATATTAGGTAAACGTAAAAGTAAGTAAAAAAAAATTAGGTAAATGTTAAAATAAAATAATTTAGAAAAGTTTAATTAAGTATTGTTATCAATCACATCATTAATTTAGATTGTTTCAAATACTGTACTATATGTGCAATTTCCAAATGTGTTATTATTTAAGTAAATTTTAATGTCTAGGAAATGTATTTTATTTTCGTTTGGTATTTCAAGAGTAATTGTATTTTTTTATTTATTTTGTTATAAATGTTATTTTGTTGATAATTTTTCAGCTTTTTTATTGGCATAATTAGGGATGGCTTGATGTGGGATAAGCTCCATCTTGAAAAATATGCGATATTTATAATAATAGTTCATATAAAAAAGTTTGAACATTATTTCTTATATAGAATAAAATTTGTTGATAAATACTTACACCTAATGTACAATATTATTATATTCTAATGAATATTAGACGGTGTATGTAAAATCATGAATACATATATAAATCACATTTTTTTTGTATAATTATTTTATATTTTATATTACAAGAAGTTTTTATTTTAGTACATTTGTTTTTTTTCTTAATGTATACTTTTAAAAAATGTTTAATTTTATCGGATAAGCGTCCATATTTATTATTACTTCTAAGTAATATAAATATATCATCCACATATCTAAAATATAAAAGAATATTTTGTTTAGATAAAGATCTTAACAACTAAGGAGATATTTTTTATTAGAGAGTAATCATGTGGCCTAATCATNAAATGTGACGTAAGTGTATATTATGATGATTTATGGCAAATAAACAGCATTCAGTAATTTGCAAAAGTAATGCATGCGAAAAAAAGGGATCTAATAGTAAGAGTACATTATCCATTAAGCACTTAGGGTACTGTGCTTAGAATCTACAAACGTTTTTAGCGAAGACTTTTTTTTTATCAGTATCTTTATTACCAACTATACAATGTCTGTTCAGTTAATAACATGTTATAAGCTTAATTTTGGGGTGCTTTAAATAGTGATATCCTATGAAAAATTATTTTTTCAAAGCCTAGATCGTACGAACAGCCCTAGTTTAATGGATATCACAATTTATTTTGAATTATTATAAATAAAAAAATTGAAAACACAAATATTTATTTAATTTTATAATAAGTCTTTGGATGATACGATCAATTGTATTGAATATAATAAGCTACTATTAATAATTAAATAAAAAAATGTATCTTAATACAAATAATCTAGCAATTAAAATTGAATTTTAGAATAAAATTTCAAACAGAGTAAAAAATACTGTTAAACATTTATAAATAATTAATAATAATTTTAGTAATTTATTAAAAATTGTATTTATGAAACTTGACATATTAGGTATCCAGAGTCAAAATAGTAATTTTTAAATGCTTAGGATCAGAATAATTCTTGATAAGCCGTAAGTTAATGGTGTTTAAACATAAGTGGACTCTTGCTATCAAACATTATTATAGAAAATATTAAATATATATTAATCATTTGAGTTATGTATATGTATACTTAAGAATTTTCTTGTTGATTTTACAATTATAAAAAATTAATAATTTCAAATTAAAATTAGGTGGGTTTTTGGTAAGAAAAATTTAATGAATAAATCGTTTAATATCATGTGTAGTAAAACTGAATCTTATCATATCGTTTTTATTTAAAAATTATTTTATATTTCAAAATATATAATTATATATGAAAGTACATAATACACACTTTTGAAGTAAATTAAAGTTAAAAAAAATAAACGAACTGCATCCTATGTATTTTAATAAATCACATTATAGCAATATATTTTATTTTTAAACAATACAAAACAGTTTTTATAGATAACTGTATGGAATTTCTCTAGTATAATTTTGACTATTACATTGTGTACCTATATTAACTTAGAATGTCTACAGATTATCTTATCGTTTTAAAATTCAAATAACCTGTTTATCCGTCGTATTAATAAGTCCATATTCGAAAACTCAAAATAAGTAAAATTGTTGTATAGTTTAATTGCTTATATCAGCCTAATTAAATATTAGCTTGATAAGATTGAAAACATTTAGTGTAAAAAAACAAGTCATAAATGAATTCAGTTGTAAGTCCGCTGGACATTCAATAGTTTTATAAGATTTATCTTGTCTAGAAAATAATTTAAACAATTAACGAATCCCAAGTACCACTAGACAAAATTACCAAAACATTAGTAATTGTTTAAAAAATATAAGAAATCGGAATTTTTAAAAGGATTATTAAAACCACGGTAAAAAATTATTCGATAAAATATTTTTCAGCCATTTGATTAAAAAAATATGTGTGATTTAATTTTTCAATATTATAATTATTTTATAATTATTAGTCAATATAATATAAGATAAAACAAAAATCAATGACTTGTGATATGGTAAATTAGTGATAATTGTTATTCTTTCAAAAACAAATACAGGGCGATTCTTTTATCATGAATCTTATAATTAATTAAAAATAAAAATATCGTAGAAATAAATATTTAAAATACAGTATTCAAACACAAAAAAAGTATCTAAATAAATTTACAAAACAATAAATCTAGGTTTTTAAAAACTCATTTGTTTCAAAAAATAATTTCAAAAACATTTAACATCAATGTGTCAATTTTATATATATATATTTATTTATTTATATATATATATATATATATATATATATTTCTCAAAAATTTTCAAAATGTATAGCTACGCAATTGTTTCATGGAGACAATGGTGTATAGATAATATAATAATACAAAATATTTGAAAATAATTGACAGGACTTTTAATACTTTTATGATGTATCTGTATTAGAGTAGAAACATTTAAGGAATGGAGTATTTAATTACGTATTTTAAATATTATTTCATGTTATTTATTTTAAATATCTTTTATATAACTGCTTATAAGGGTGTTAACTTAATTTTTTTCAAATGACAACGTACATAATCAAATAGTTTAATTATTAAATAATGATTTAATTAAAAAAACTTTAACTAGATAACAACTTTTGGACCAATATTTCAATAATTATTAAAATATATATATATTTAGGCGGAAATAGAAGTAAGGCTAAGATATGTCTAGCGATAAAAGTGATAGTCTTCACCCCAAGTTATTATTTTTAATTATTAATAAATAATAACATTTTTTAATTAGATAATTATCTAATAAGTAAGCTAGTTAATTATACATGTTCCCAATTGAAAAAATAAAGTTGACACCCTTATAAAGCATAAGAGATAAATACAAAATTCACTTCATGGTTGATAAATTGAGAAAATATTTAAAAAGATAAAAAGAAAATATCTGGTTAAATATATGATTTCATAATATAATTAAATCACATATGTATTTTTTAAATTAAAAAATAAAGTGTATAAAATTTACATACCAATTACACCGCTGCCAATAATTGAATTGATGTAGTTGAAACTCGCAAATTTTGGGCAGTTTTTGAGATTGTCGCCTTGATCCATCGTCTAAAAAACAATATGAACTTGAATGAGTTTTAGGTCAAGTGTAGGTATAATTGTGAATATTGTAAATTATAATATAATACTTTTGGAAATTCATGAAATATATGTTTATTTGATGTCATAAAACATAACATAGATTACAAATTAATGTTTAAAAAAAAAATGACTTCCTATTATTATAATTTGCATTTATACAAGTACATGTAAAAATGAGCAATTTTTTATTTCTACTATTCCTGTTTTTGTAATTATAATAATATAATAAAGAGAAACGGTGTGCCCAAGTCGGTCACGCGGCAGTGTTTGATGTGTATTGTTTTGGGTTCAAATTGGATAAAAAATAATAATAATAAAAAGTAACATAATTTAATAAAATTTTCACTTATTATTACTTATTTTCTTCGGATATTCTTAATTTTTTACCTCAATATATTCTTACAAATATCAAATGATTATGTTATAAGTTTTCAACGATATTTATGCAAAAGTTGTACATTTTTAATGTTATTCATGTCGTTAAGTTTTAATAAAAAGCAGTGCGATGGACACGCGGTTATTGTGTACGTTTATAGTTTAAAATATTGCATTCTAACAATAGGATTTTTCTCTCGTATAAATTAATCACTCAAAAACTTGACAATAAACCTATATTCGGTTTGTTTTTAATTTGCGGTGGGTTTTTTAGAAAATTGTAATTGGTTAACGTTATATAATCAATACTATAGGTGAATAATTTGATTTTCGCGTAATGAAAAAGCTTTTAGTTTTCCTTATTTTTTAATTTGTATAAACATTAACTTAATATAATACAACTTTACATTGAACAACTAGTCGTATGTATATATTTTCAGAAATAAGTAATCTATACCATCTTTTCATTAATTGTGAAATGTTGAATGTGATTTTTTTAGCTCAATTTTAAAGTACGAAACAAATCTATTTTGAAATCCATAATGTTTTGATTTTAAAATAAAACATTTATTTCCAAAATATTTTTTAATTTCATTTCTAAAATTAAAAAAAAAATTCTTTGTATTTCTTACAATCAAATTTAATAAAAAAGAAATTTGACTTTAAAATTTTTAAGCTATATTTTTAGATTGAAAACAAAAAGTTATTTATTTTGTTAAAAGAACTAAGGCCAAATTATTCAAGATCTTCAAATAAATTTATCCTGACTTTATTTACTCAAATTATTTAGCAGAGATGAATCTCATTTTAAATAAAAACATTTGAATTAGTGAATATATTAATAAAATTACGGATCAATTAAATTAAATAACTATGATGAAATCAAGTGCACGTTAAAGAATTATTCAAATAAATATTTTAAGATTTATAGAAATGTTATAACTGCTGAGAAACTATAACTGAAAAGTGTTGAAATAAGATATTGAATTTTAATTCTGGAACAAAATTGTCAAAAAACCTACAATTAATCTGGTGTTAGGATAAAGAGATAGAAGAATTCATAGAGAAATACTTGTAATACGTTATTGATGCATCTTATTACACCTCAATGCATTATTTTCCGATACCCTTCGTCATAAAATAACGATAATTTTAAACAGGTTTATAACAATCTTCTGCTATTAAGTTATAAGCAGTAAATTTACAAACCATTAGAAGTTTAGATAACTGGGACATGTTTATCTATTGGGAAGGTAGTTTATATTTACAAAAACTAAATAGTAAAATAGAGATCTTTTCAAAATTATTTCACATTAATTTTATAAATGCAATCACATAAGCAATAAATGCAATGTTCGTTATGTCTAATGAAAAAATCGATTTAAAAGGTACTTAAAAAAATCTGAACATAAGAATGTCTTATTATCAATTTACTTAAAACTAATATGTGTGATGTCACGTGTAGTAGAATTTAGATAGTAAAATTATTCTTTACTATACATAAAGTTTCCATTATACTAAATAACCTGTTGAATACCCGTGATAATCGTGATTAGCAATTAAATTATAAAGTTATTTACATAAAAGTAAGTCAAATTATTTAATTTTCTGTGAGAGTCAATAAGTGACGGATAATAAAAAAAATTGATAGTTTTATATTATATTATTAAATAAACAATTATTATATTATATTGTTTATATTTATTTTTTGAATAATTCTTCTTTTTAGCCGAAATCACTTTTTTATAATATAAATTAAGAAAATTAATTTGATTTTAGAATTAAATTGCTATTATCAAAAAATTATATTAATTAATTTAAATACCTAAACAAAGACATAATTGAGAAATATACATATTTCAAGTTGTTTTGATAACACTTCATAACTTACATGATTTAAATTTATGTTTACCCTATATCCATTTTTTTTTTAAGATAAATATTGTAATCATTTATGACTCAAGTACTTAGTGGTATATGTCAAAAAATACATTTATAATTTTACAAATATGTATTAAATGAGTCGTCCAATTGCAAAAGAACATTGGCCCAAAAAACTTATTTTGGGTATACGTTCTTTTGAAACTGGACGACTTAAATATTTTATTATAGGAATATAATTAGTATTATTTTACTTTAAATTCATATCCTTAATTTTATTTGTAATAATTTAGAGAGTAATAAAATATAAAGTAACAAAAGTGGTACAAAAAGTGATTTTTAAATGAAAATTTTATTTATAAAACTGTTCTGAAATTCTTAAAATAAAAAAACAATAATAATTTTTTAATATTTAGAATTATTGAGTCCAAAATATATCTTCCATTTTTCGTTTTGTAAAAAATATTTTGTTATTATGACTGGGTTTTGTTTAATTTTAATTTTCTCGTTTGTTCTGGCATGATCAAACGATTTTTTATTAATTTTTTTCTTGTGACTAAAAACTGTTTCATATACTATTTTTAAAACGCTTAATATATTACTCTTTAAAGAAGTAAAGTAAAAGCTATTTTATCATACTTCTCTGTATAGTAAAAATTTTAAACAAGTTGAAAAATAATAATTTTACTAGTTTTTATCTTTAATAAAATTATATCTTCAGTAGCAATAAAATACATTATTGCTACTGAAGATATATTATTCTATTTCACACACCTTTAAAATGACAAGTCATTCAGATTCGACGTGTTTCGTGTAATTGTGACAATTATTATTATTATCATCGATAACATGTTAAATGACTTAATTTATAAGTGTAAACAATTTTCAAATAGGCAAACGATACCGTAGCCTTGAAAAATTATGGATTAACGCGCTATTATATTGTAATAAAGTGATACATAATTGCTAATTTAGGAACTTTGACATTGTTATAATAATAGCGAGCACCCACTTAGATATTAGGCGATGCTTTATTCTCGCGATGGAATATATATTAAACACAGCAGTTTGATTTCAAAACAGGTTAAACAATTCGAATGAATGTGTCGGAGGGAAAGTATGGTATGAAGTTTTAAAGAAATAACATATTAAAATATCCACCTGAGCACGTTGTAGTATGTAACTTCTTTCGTCCAAACCATTTTTTGACGGTTTGACCAGGCACTCTCTGCTGGTGTTCATCGAGCACATTGTGCCAGCTGTTGTCAACCAATTTAGATAGCTTCATATGTGTAAAAACACGGTACAACCCGTTGGCGGGACCGCGAAAGCGATTATGACTCAAAATCACACCACAAGGTGTAAAGCTGTCGAAGGTAGCCTACTGTATATTTGTACGACGGTGGCGCAAAACGACTAACGCTGAGATGAGAAATGATCAATCAGCGACCACAACGGCACCACAACACATCGGATACTAGACTGTAGATTATATTTGTTCGCAGTCGAAGGTAACGTTATAAAGTCGTTGTACTGTACCCCACTACATCTGTATTACCTAATTGTTAGGTACATGTTGTTATCAGATAAGTACAAATCAAATACACGAGCGCTTCAGTGTTTTTATTAGTTAACAATAATGTTACAATATTTAATAATATCAAATCACATCGTTGGAACTACACAAACGTATACCGTGCGAAATTATAATTGTTGTGTGCAATGCAGTAGACATTCAGTAATCACAACTGAAATACACAAAACAATTTTAATATAAGATAAATATAAATAAGTTCTATTGTAATCCTAAGACTAGAATTTTATAAATCCACATTGAAATTATTCAAGATGGAAATTTTTAAATTAGAAAAATTATTAGAACGCCGTTTGATGAGTATGATAATTAAAGAGCTAAAAATATCAAATGACGAACGAACCACTTTTGATCGCTTCGTACACGTGTACAGTTCTTGTATGATATATGTCATTACATACATGATATATGTACTTTATTTTTCTATTGAAGTACTGTATATTTTGTATCCATAATTTTAATTGATTCACACAATTAAAAAACACATGCATTCAACTTTTTAGTGACCGTTGCCCCATCATACAAGATAAATATTTTAGTTCATAATTGCGTCGTCTTGAAATTTAATCGCTTTATAATAATAAATACCGTAGAAAATATATATAATTATTTTATCATCTTTCAATGTATATATCAATCATAATTAAAGTAATATTTCAAATTTGATATTACATCTTTACAGAGAAAAGTGTGATAAATTAAAACGATTTATTAAAGTAAAATGTATTTATACAAATAAAAAATTACACCTTATCAGTTATTCCTATAGAATTATTAATAATTATGTCTTTTTATGCAATAATCAAGGAGAACGATACTCTTGATGGAAAAATATGGAACACCTTTTTTAGTTAACCATCTAATTTATATTTAATTATTCTCTATATCATTGTTATAAATTTATTATAAAACTATAGACAAATTATTTTACCCTAATAATTATAATAATGTCGACGATGAAAACATTTTTACTTCATTTTTCAATTATTTAGTTTTATATATTCTTGTATATTTTTCGTAATGTATAACACCGTCTAAAATAAAATTGTATTACGAGCCAAATTTAGAGATTATTTTTACTTTTAAATATTTATATTTTCCACCTGCTGTTTACTAAATTAAATCATAATTGTCGTTTGTACATTAAATTATATCTCCGTGAAAAATTTTTAACACGTGATGCATCATAAAAATTAAGGAATAATGATAATTTTTTTAATATTGTAAAAAAGTTCCTCGAAAAATCGAAAATCAAAACAATTTTGATTGAATTTTTTATTTCGGCATGTAATACTTAATAGGAATATTATTAGTAATCCTTACTGAAAAATTAATTTTTTTTTTTTATACAAAATTATGTTTCTTTTTTCCAAATTTATTTTTATTCAATCGTAAGTAAGTGCTAGTATTATAAAAGTTAATGTGAATTAAAGTATTAATTAAAAATTGTTTTCAAATTTTCATATATATGTATTGGAAGTTCTTAACACATACAATATAGTGGAAAATTTTGTTAAATAGTGATAAAAATGGCATATTTGTATACGAATTTTCGATACTTTATGAACAAATTACAATACTCGTATATATTAAAAGTATAATAATCATAATACTACCACCATTTGTTTCATTTTTATAAATCACAATAAATGTTAAGTTTAAATTTATACCTAAAGGTAGAGTTTTGGAGTGGGTAACTCTCGAAAATCAAATAGGAGTCTTTTATTATATTTATAAAATTTAATAAGAATGGACTAAATGAAATTTTGATTTATCAATAACCAGTTTCTTAATATTACTTTTTAAAATTTTACATATAAAGATTTAAAATACCCAGCACAGGGGGGTCGCGACACAGTGGTGTGTGGCATAATTGGATCAAGTATAATAATATCTGACAGTGATTAAAATCATTATCAAAAAAAACGTTTCGATACAAATCTTTAGATAGTCTTTAATTTTAGAAAATTGATGAATTATTCCAAAAGCTATATGATCTGCTATTTCCTTATTTATATACTGATTAAGATAAAGTATGTCGAATGAAAAAGGGATATAAATATTATTTTTCATGATAATGTATATTACACTAGCTTTAATTTAAGATATATATAAAAGTGTCAGACTTTCCGGAACACATTCAAAAGTTAAGTTGAAAAAGTTGTCATTTTAAATCCCTCCCTGTGGCCAGGTAAAGGGTCAGATTTATAAAATAATATATATCAAATTATAGGTAAAGACATCATTCATCTATAAAAAAAAATTATATTGATTTGATCATTTTTGAAAAAGTTATAGTTGTTTTAAGTAAAAATTTTAAAAAATTTCGTAAATCAGAAATTTTTAAATTAGTAATTTTTTTTTGGAGGTTTCATTTACGGGGAATGAAGGAAATTTTTTCAATTTTTGAGGGTAATGTCTTCGATTAGATACAATTTGTGATCTTTTTTGACGTATCGTTGTAAGAAATCGGTTCGGTGAGTTGAGAAAAAGTGGTAACAGACACAAAAAAAAAACACATCATAGTAAAACCAATACCCAAGACCGGATTTACCCCAAAAACGCCCCTAAACTAATAAGGAACAAACGCCCACTTCATAGAACACAGATAGAATGGAAGCTGAGCTAATCACCCCCTCCCAATTTTGTATTGTATATTTTGTACAAAAATTTTGTAGTTTAAATTATGATGATAAAAAAATCTATTGTTCATAAATTATAATTAATGAATAATAATAAAAAATAATAATTATATTTTTATTCTGTTAATGAACGGTTAATTTAGTAAATACAATTGTCAACTTATTAATGTAAACAACAAAAATTTGCACCGTTATGAAAAATGAGAAACATTAATTAATAATACGTTTGGCGTTTCCTTGATTTGGTAGCTCGACACAATAGTTGTGTATAAATTATTTATATGACCGCCGCACAGTGGAATGAAACGCCGATTTAGGCGGCCAAAAGTATCATTTTTTAAAAGTCACTTAAATTTTTTTTTTTTAGCAAAACACATTAATATCATACTTAAGGGTTTTAATACAAATTTTCAAGAGCATAAGTTGATTTAGTGAAGGTGTAGAGCTATTTTAATGTTATACTTCTAAAATTTATCCGTATTTTCAGTAATTTTGAGTTTATTTTTGTACATTTTTTTTATGCCTTAAAACATAATTTAAAATTAAATTTTTTTTTTAATTCCTATTAAAAAAGATATCCTTTTTCAAATGAAAAAGAAAAAAAACTTTTTTTTTAATTTTTGTGGAATTTAACAAATTTATACTTTAAAAAAAATCGAATTTTTTCGTTTTTTTCTCTAGTTTGCTCGTTTAAAGAGATTAACTAAAAATTACGCAAAATTACACGTTAATCCATACATGTGGCTTGTAGAGCAAGTCATCAGCTACACTATGAAAAAAAAAAATTTTGCGCTCGATAATATTTGAACTGTACATACTGCATTTACCTAGAATAAACGAGTATTTCCCTAAAAATCGTATGTTTTACAGGATTTTTACTCTATAAATAAAATTAGTCATTATTTATTATTAATTGTTATACGATTACATTGATATATAAATATGAATATTTTAGTTTTATACATATAAAAAATAATTATGCCATTGATAAATTCATGACTGAAAATGAATCATTTAATTGACTATTTAATTCATCTTCTTTATAGTTGTCATCATTATGAGGGAATATTACTAACATCTTACCATATTCTGANTTAATTCATCTTCTTTATAGTTGTCATCATTATGAGGGAATATTACTAACATCTTACCATCTTCTGATAACTCTTTTAAATGCATTTGCTTATTTCTATCGATACTAGAAATGTAAGGATCCGATGAGATAAGAAGTATGTGAATTAAATCCTCATTAGTATTTAAGCGCGAATTTTTTCTGGTGTGATGTTCTCGGTACATTTTATAATCTTTATTGCGACTCTCTTGTGCCTCCTCAGATAAGTTGCCTAAAATAAATGTTGATATTTTTTATTGTAGTAACTATAATCTTTTGTGATATTACCTATAGGAAGTGGCGCATATTGAATAATATGAGCACCGTGTAACAAAATTTTATGCACTGACGCCGGCATATAGTACCATGGATACAATGATACAAACAATTTAGCTGTTAAAAAGCAATATTCTTCAAAGGCCTTTATGTTAATTGTATATCCGCTCGCTATTTTCGATAAAATTGTTCCACACCGTTTAATTAAATTAATATCAATTCCAGTACAGGAGGATGACAATTCAGCGTTTTTCAAAAATTTCCTTGCAGTATTGCCATCGTTCGTAGTTCCATGTCCTATAATTGGACAATAATGAATATATATTAGACAATATTAAATTGTATAGAATGAATTATTTTTTAAATGTTTTAACATTCTAATATTAAATTAGACTAAAGTATCACATACCTTGTAACACAATATCTACTAAAAGTCCCATTTCAGACCTAAATTTATTTTGAATATGTTGTTTACGAACACTATACAAACCTTTGTTTACAGCCTTAACCTTTAAAATTAGAAGAAAATAAATTGTCAGTGGATTGCATATTGTATATTTTATAATTTTTTTATTTTACCTGCCAAGTTTTAATTTCTAATCTATACGAAAGATGAATAAAATACTCAAAAAAACGTATCCACGCATGCAACGTTGACAATCCATACTTATAATTTTCTGTTATGCATGGTCGATATTTAACTGCCTCAATGTCATTCATTTCGGTTGGTTTACATCCACAAATAAAACATTTTTGGCTAGATATTCCAGTCAAAGAATTACATACCTATAAATTTTTTTTTTTTATCGAACCGAGTTAAGAAATAAGTAATCAAATTATATAGATCAATAAAAAATATTGATCATTAATTTTCTTGT